GGTTTACTAACACTAAATCTAGTTTTAAAATATTTTTTAACTTTTACTATATAATAGCGGAGATCATCATGTGATCATGTGAATTTCAGCATTATCCAATTTCAGCATCATCCACGACAATTATTGAAGAGAAAAATAGTAAAAAACAAAAAATTAATATTATAACTTTAGATAATAAAAATAGTATTCTTAATTTAAATATTTATGAAATTAGTTTATATATTATAGGAAAATGTACTTTAAATTTTGTTAATTTATTTGTATTTATTTTTATTTAATTTATTTGTATTTGTTTTTAGAGAAATGATTTTCGTACAGCAGTTTCATGTAACTTCACATACATCAATTTAGGTTTGGCCAATAAAATCGCAATGTTGGTTAATTCACTCGAAATTCGACAATTATTTTTGTACATCAATAGTTGTGTACATCAATGATTGTGTACATAAATTCGGTTTATTGAAAAATTGATAATAAGAAAATAAAATGAAATTAGAATGTTATACCATATTAAAAAATTTTATTTAACCATTTAAAAACACTACGTATCGCTATTTAAATGCCATTATTATTATTATGATTTTATTATTTATGTATATCTAGTTATTTATTTAACAAATTTGAATCACTTCACATAATATTAAAAGTTTTTCAGTGTGTCTAATACCAGTTTTAATCATACTTGTATATGCAAATTTGACCTCATGATTTACATGAATTAAAAAAAAATTATATTCATGGGTATTTTTCTACAGTAGTTAGACAATAATTACATTAAATTAATTTATATCAAATGAAGTATAATTGATAATATACTACAGTATTGTAATGAAAAGACTTTATTAGCAGTATATACTGTATGCTAATTCATAGAATTAAATATATTATATAATACGAAGCAAAATGTTACCCATCAAATAAATAATTAAATAATTAATTAAGTTTTTGTTCATTAAAGACATAATTTCACCTTAAAGCTAGGCTCTTAACGTTAAGTACCAACAAATTTTAAAATAAAAAAATATACTATATATACAGTATCGTAAAACTCAGAAAAAAATAAGCAAAATTAAATTAAATTTCATGTTCCATAAATAAGCAACTCATATGGTAAAGTAATTGCATGAAATTCAGATTTTAAATTGGAATTAAACGTTATCGATTTCAATAATCAGTGAATAAACACTCTCATTAATAAAAAAAATAGGTGCTTATTTTTCTGGGTTTTGCAGTTTACTCTTTGTAATCTCTGATCACTATGCCAAGATCACAGGGATTAATAAATAATCTTCTGATCTGTATGTGAATAAGCGAAAACTTCGTTTCTCCAATACGGATTAGAATATTATTATACTAATACTTACTATATTACTACTATCTTCTAATTTAGCAAAAACTAAACATTAATTCAAAGTATCAAATTAATTAATCAATTATGCAAGCTCAACAAGTTAGAAGCATAAAAAACAAAAAAATATAAAAAAAGAAAAAGAAGCAATATATAATCTATACAAAGAGAGAATGCCAATTCTCAGAAAAGCCTAAACAATGGCAAATAGGTAAATATTGAGGATTTATAGGCGGAATCTATATCTTTATTTGGTTTAAGCTTAATCAACACAAAATGACTATGTCCATACTGCAGAATGATGGGTTTTTTTACAATATCCAGGTCTTTGATTAAATGGCAAAAAAAGAAAACTTGACACAGATTTTTCGCAAAATATTGCTACTGGTACATTAAATGTGTCGGATGCTAGTTGTACACACTCCGGTGTATAAAACCAGTACTCTTGTGAGCACTCTGGCTTAATATATGATAAAACACTTATCAATTGCTCAACGTTATACCCAAGTATGTTAGTATACATATTTTGCTGCCCGGTAACTGAAACTTCATAACATTTTTAACATTTTGCTATTTTTCTTCTTCTCAGAATATAGCTATAGCTAGTGATTGAAAACTACAATGACTATCACCAAGCAGGTTGTAAACCTGTAATTATATAAATGTATTTAAATTAGTTTTGAAAAAAAAATTTTGGTATGAGTGACGCCGGGATCTCAATCATATAAATTTTATATGATCAAGGTCTCATTTTTTTTTGGTGTCATTCATATAAGATCTTAAACAACTATGAAAATTAATTTCGGCAATATATATGCTGTATAAAAAAAAAAACTCAGCAAACCAAATATTATAAGATGCAATAATTAATTAATTAATTAATTACTTATCAAAATGAAAACATGTGATCCATATTATTTCACCAACAAACACTTTATAAATATCATATTTCACTGACAATTACCTATCGACAAGTTCATTTCACTGACAGTTTATTCTACCGAAGCTTGTTTTACAAACAAAGTAATTCTGGTCAATAACATTATTGTCAGGCTAGAATTAAAGATGAAGTTAGTGTAATTTATAAAAAAAAACTTGTCGGCTTTGATGAAGTAGACTGTCGGTAAAATAAACTTGTTGGTAAATAATTGTTGGTGAAATGTGGTGTCTATGAAGTGTTCGTTGGTGAAATAATATAGATCCAAAATATATACATATAACATTACTTCTGATATCACATTTAGAGGAATATGTGAATCAAAATTTATACCAGGAAGATGTGGTAGCAAATTATTATCTTTTTTCTTCTTCTTAACTTCAGCTTTTGGAACCTTATCTGCACTACAGATACGTTTGTTACTACGGGGACGACCACGTTGACGCTTTGTCACAGGTATCTTGATTTCCTTATAATTTGTAATATTGTCAATATTAGTTGTCTCAAAAATACTTCCTTGTAAACTATCTAAATCTTTTTGTAATTCTGGTATTTTGCCACTCTTAAGAATATATTCTAAAGCACTTTGCATAATATCAAATAAAGAACCATGATAACATTCTGGCAACTTTTTGAAAATCTGCACAGTAAGTTGAGAGACGGAGTTCGAAGTATTATCAACTTCTTCGGTATACTGTACATGCCAACGTTGGTGAACCTCACTTGGCAATACACAAGTGTGTAGACACAGTAAATATACTACGATAATATGTTGGCATGGAGTCCTGGTGCGCTGTAAGTACAAACATGTACAAGTACTTGGTGTTCCAATATGTACTGTATATGTTTTACTTACCTCACTATCAAGCTCTATTATATCGTATACACCATCATGTTTAAAAACGCCATATTCACCAAATATTACAAGATCCCTCTGTTGTTTAACATATGTATCAAATGCGAATCGTGAACATACTGAATGCAACTTTTCCAAGCCTACGTCTTTATCGTCTTGTGTATATCTATTTTGATGTAAAAAGGTCTCATATGCAAATTTCTGGATATGTTCTTGATGCTGTTGCTATATAATTGCAAGTAACCTATTGAAATAAAATAAAATAAATTAAATTAAACTTGTCTAATTAGTAATAAATAGTGTTACTTTTAAAAAAAATAAATAAATAAACAAATTAAAATAAAATTAATCAATTACACATCACTCTGGTTATATTAACACTCCAAAATAAATAAATAAATTATATGGTATACTGATTTAACCCATACCAGATCATTTACAAATGATGCAATAACTCTGAAAGAATATGCTCGAAAATCACTTTCAATTTAAACGTATATAACTTTGTTGATAGGAATATGAAATTTATAATTTTTAATGTGTATAAAATGTTGAAACTATTCTGGCTTAGTTACAATGGGCGATAGCAAAGATAATTACGTTTCAGAGACACTTTCATATTATTTAGATTCAAATTAAAGAAAGTCCTATAGTTATATCAAGAGCCCAATACAACCAGAGTGATATGTAATCAAACTAATTGATTAAAAATTCATATCTGTTATATTCATACTTATAGTTGATTATAATTAGCAAGAAATTTTGAAGATTAGCTATTTAATTGGTTATCCTTATCTATCAATCGGTGTAATACGATTCTCAACACCTTTTAATTTGCTATGAAAACTCTCAACACATTGGCTTGATTTAATATTGAGATTGATATTTCCTTTCGTATACAGCGCAAGCCAACTTTCTTTGTGTGGCATCCATGTTTCACACATGTACTTTTTTGTGCTTGGAAATTTTGTCTATAGGTTAGTGATTTCTTTATTTGTCTGATTTTCTAAAAGATCATTGTATATCAACCTTCTAACAGCTTGAGTAAATTCGTCAATACAGATACCCTTAAGCTTAATTCTTATATTTTTAAAAATGTGCCATGTGCACAATTGATACCTTGTATTGGAAAATATGATAGATAATGTATTCATAAGGGTTAACTCATGATCAGTTATAATTGTTGCTATGTGTGAATCACCCATAACAATCATCAACACTCTACACAACTGCTGCAATATCCAACAATAAAAATCCTTTGTTTCAGCATGTACAAGTACGAAAGCTAAAGGTATATTGACTCGAATTGATCAATGCCACAAACAACAATCAATGACATTGAAAATCTATTAATTAAAAAAAAACAAACAGATATTAATTAAATTAAATAATGAATTAAAAACATTATAATGTATAGGCACATATAGTTCACTAAAATATTAATTAATAAATAAATAAATAAGCATTAAATAGTGCTCTTTCACAGTAAGATAAATAGTTAAAATTGAAATAAAAACAAAATTTAAATAAATAAATAAAATAATATAAAATAAATAAGCAAATAAATGATTAAATTAAGTTAAATTAAATTAAATTAAATTAATTAATTAAATAAAATAAATAATTAATTAATTAAACAAATAAAATATATAAAATAGATAAAAAACTTGTTTGTTCTATAAGTTACATCGATAATTAAGACATCTTTTGCTACTGCTAACTCAAAAGCCACACTTCGATATGTTTAGAAGATTGTTTGAATAAAAGATCTGTCTTGATCACGTATATTATCATATGTATGCTTTGTTGCTATACTTGCTATAATTTTTTTATCATTTTGCAATGTTCTAAGCAACATCTTTATTTCATATAACTCTTGCAACTTTTGCTAACATTAATGACTCACAGCATTATAAACATCGTGCTTATGAACATATTTTGAACTTATAGAAGCTAAAACAATATAAATATCCTTTGTACGAAGTCCAGTATTATGAAGCTTCTCAATTGTGCCTAGTTCGTTCTGATCAAATTTGTGCATATTGCTACTAAACTTTCTAGCTTCCGGATAAATTTCGTGATTGTGTGTCAAGTCTAATTGGGTTATAGCAAATTTATTTGTGCGCTTACAGTAATTTATTCTAATAATAAAGAGACAACCTGTTCGCTTAGTGGTATGTGCTTCTTTTTTTCCATTATAACTTCCCTGTTTTTCACAAACAAAAAGTGCCTGTCTATACCCACTACTATCAGAATTTTTTGTTGTTTTTGCCAAGATTACAACGACATTGGTTTGTGCTACATAACCTTCTATAAACGCATGAGCTTCATCAAAAGTAGAAAAAACATCTTCTATTTTAGGAACAAAAGTTTTATTAGTAGCCATATAATAAAAATAACAAAGAATAGAACAAATAATTGATGATGAAAAATGCCACAATGAAGAATATGAAACTAGAGCAGTATAAGATTGATAAAAATGAATGGATAAATGAATATTAGGTTAACAAAAATTTAAAATCAACAGTGAATGTATAGAATGTAAGAGTGTAAGATTAACGATAGGTATAAGGTTAATGCTAAATGTAAGATTAATAAGATTAACGATGAATATAAAGTTAATAATAAATATAAGGTTACGATTAATAAGATTAACGATAAATATAAGGTTAATGATGAATGTGATAAATATAAGATTAACGATTAATGTAAGATTAACGAAGTATATAGAGTCAACGATGAACATAAGGTTAACGATAAATGTAATGATGAATGTAAGGTTAACAATAAATATATGATCAATATAAAATCGGTAATAAGTGTAAGTATAAAAGTGTTAAATTAACTGAATAATTAATCTATTTATATTATTTAAATGTATGATCTTATTGGTTGATAAAATTTGATAAGTCGATAATTTTTTTTTAATATACGCAACTATTAATGTATATAATTATTGATGTACACAACTATTGATATACGAAAATAATTGTTGAATTTTGAGTGAATCAACCAATGCTGCGATTTTATTGGCCAAACCTAAATTGATGTACGTGGAGTTATACGAAACTGCTGTACAAAAATCATTTCTCTTGTTTTTATATTAAATAAAATATATTTAATTGGTAGATCACAGTTAAAGGGTACAAAATGATCAATATTTTTTTTTTTTTTTTAATATTAAGGTGACCACTTAGGCCCTTGGCACTTTATTAGTACAAGCAGTAGGCCAATGT